TGGCGAAAAACAAAATTTTAATATCCATTCGTCGTTACCACCCAAGATCCTCTTACAAAAACTACAAATTATTATAAAGAAGAATATCTTTTCTCATTGAAAACAGATCGGACGGTGTAGGTGAATGGATTGGTGCAACGCACGTAGCAACAAAATATCAAACCTTTAGCGTGTCCACACGAACAATGAACGGTGTTCTATGAAGAATTTATGCTAGTAAATTCTTCCTAGAATATTGCTATAATATAAAATATTTTTTCGGACAGGTCTATGGAGAGTAGAATCAAATTCTTCCTCTTCTTCGTCCCTCCTTTTCGGCCCTACCTAATAAGATATAACAATTTATTTTTTAAACTTTAATTATCAAATAATTAAGACTATATATGTATGTATGTATGTATGTATGTATGTATGTATGTATGTATGTATGTATGTATGTATATGTATATGTACGCCACATGTCCCAAATAAATACTGTATATAATACTCCCTCCATCCCAAATTATAATGCATGTTTACTATTCACAGTGTCAAACTTCATTCACTTTCTTTCTCTATTTTCATTAGCAATTTGATAAAATAAAATATTATTATCACTACTAGTTTTGCAGATCTTTTGATATAGTTTTTTAATATATAACTTTTATTTTTAATTCTATACCATTTGTAATATAAAATGGTTTGAAAATAATTTCAGTCAAACATCGTAAACCGAAACAGGCGTTATAAAATGGGACGAAGGTAGTATTATTTTACTTCATTCCCATTTAATATTTTTCCCCGTTTAATTGTTTTATGTGTGTGATCCTTCTAGGTATTCATAACATTGAAAATAATATTAATTCATAATTAATATTATATACGATAAGCGTAACCTAGCAACACATTATCGCTACCCAAGTTATAAACATAATAATGTTCACTGCAACAACACTCCAACGACACATTTCATTTTTATAACTCTTATCTCTTTATCTCTGACATCTTGATTTTACACAATGTATGAGAAATGTCATCTTGTTAGAGTTAAATCATTGGTTTATTGTTTCTGAGATTGACATGTGGGATTCAAATAAGATTATTACGGTGTATCATATATATTAATTTATTTGCGTATGGTCATACACTTCCCAAGTCATATTAATCAGTGGGTCCAGACACATTATATTTCATTACAATGGAAGAGATAAATTCTTTTTACGTCATTCATGTCTTTACATATGTTTAACTATATATCCAAAACATAACTTTACATCCACTAGTATTTCAAATGACATTAGATATGAATCACATAAGTCTCTCCAAAATGCTGGACTCTTGAGCAAAGGATTTCTTATAATCCGTTGGAGAAACACTTAACAGGTCTTTTGACAAACAGACACATCAAAATAAAATGATTAAATTAGGGGTACACCAGCATGTGGTATCCTATATGTACACCAAGCCAACACAGACACAAAATGTCTGTGCAGCACAGACATTTCGTATCTGTGGGTGTCTATGTTGGCTTGGAGTACACATGGGGTACCATGTTGGTGTACCCCTAGGCCAAATCCTCCTATATACAATGCTAGGTGGATTTCTCCGTGAACAGTGTTCCCGCCTAAACTAGGTGGACCTTGCTGCGGTTTTGGGCCTGCATTGGTTAACGGAATGGGCCTGCATTGGTATACGAAAATGGCCTGCTTTGGTGTCTATTCGAATCTCCTTTTTTGATTTATGTCCACTCATTACAATCTTCCATAAAGTTACATTGATAACATAAATTTGGTGGCTCCATAAAGGTGGTTTTAAAAATAACTTACTTTGTGTCACTTCAATCTATTTTAAAGATTTTTAAAATCCTCCCATATACAATGATAAGAGGAGCTTATGAATCGGTGTGCAAAGTACTTGAGTGTGCTTCATTGAAATTCAAATTAAAAAATAGATGTTGTGAGGCTCAATACTTTCTTTTCCTAAAAAGACGTGATTTACTTTATGTCAATATATGGATTCTACAAATCTTTTATTGGGACATGTGTTTTATACTTTACAGCCTATATGTGTACTTATTCACTAAAAAATCATTGTTAAGCGTGTAAAGTGGATTTCCAAATCTTTTAATTAATGTGCCAACCAACTCTTTCATGTAGTATAAATAAAATGCAAATGCAATACAACACAACTCATTCGCTGCGGAATGAGTACTAAGCAATCCAGACGACGGTTGAGGTACTGAGGAGGTGTTATTTTTGCATTTCTCAAAATGTATGGCTTACTAAAGAATTACAATGTCAAGTCATTAATTTTATTTTTGGGATTTTTTTAAAGAGTGGTGAGCATAAATATGGTCAGAACCAACCTTTATTTTTCAGAATAATCTTTAATATTGCATCAAATATTAAAAATAGGTCAGAAAGACTGCATACATCAATGTTTCAAGCAAAGCAGTTTCGTAGTGTTGCAGTGAAGAAAATTTAAAATCTTGATTCCAAATATGATTAAATGGCTTTGGCAATGATTAAGAGTCTTTTTTCAATACGCCATAAATTA